CATTTACTGCAGCAGCAGCAGCAGCAGCAGCATTTACTGCAGCAGCAGCAGCAGCAGCAGCAGCATTAACTGCAGCAGCAGCAGCATTTGCAGCAGCAGCAGCAGCAGCAGCACTTGCTGCAGCAGCAGCAGAAAGAGCCTTGCTGCAGTGTCTGCTTCTCAGGCGAAATGAAGCAGAAAGGCTCAAGCGGGTCATGTCCCCGAAGCAGCTAAAAATGGGATTAGATGTTGCTGCGCTGCAGCAGCAAGTGCAGCAGCAGCAAGAAAGAGAGTTGCTGCTGAGACTTAAAGACGCACACGCAGGTGGGGAGACACAAAAAGAAGCCACAAAGAAGCAAAAGGAAGCAGCTAAATGCCCCAGCAGCAGCAGCAGCAGCAGCAGCAGCAGCAGTGGCAGCGCAGCACAGGCAGCCCAAAGCAGCAGCAACACAGAAACACCAACAGAGACAAAGGGGACAAAAGATCAGCAGCAAAAATCAAAGCATACAAGCAGCAGCAGCAACAGCAGCAGCAGCAGCAGCAAAATCTAGAAGGCAAAAGAAGAGAAGCAGCAGTTAAAAGAAGAGCAGCTCGCAGACAGCAGCAGCAGCAGCAGCAAATAGCGTAAAGCAGCAGATGATTTTTTGTTTAAATTATAAATGACAGCAGCAAATTAATTCGAAGACACAAATCTCTCCTGCTGCTCTAAGCAGCAGCAGAGTCAGAAAGTGTAGCAGCAAACAGACAACGGCCGATGCTGCTGCTGCTGCCGCAGCTGCTGCTGCAGTGCTGCTTCTGCAACGCTGCTGCTGCAGTGCTACTGCTGCTGCTTCGCCAATGCAGCTGCTGCAATGCTGCTTGTGCAGTGCTGCTGCTGCAGTGCTGGGGCTAGTGCTGCTGGTGCTGCTGCTGCTCCAATGCTACTGCTGCTGCTGCTTCTGTTTCTTTTGCCGAAATGATCCTGCTGCAGCAGTTGCTGCTGCTGCTGCTGCTGCTGCTAATGCTATGCCTCCCACCTGAGCACTTTGTGGCACTTCTGCCTAGTAGTGCTGCTGTTCAGTTTTTTTCTTTTTCTCTTTTTCCTTTTTTATTTCTTTTTTATTTTTTATTTCTTTTTTCTTTTTGTTTCCTATTTTCTACTTTTCTTTTTTTATTAATTTTGTTTTTATTTTTAATTTAATTTTGTTGCTTTCTTTGTTTCCTTTTTTGTTTCC